CCTACAGTACAGAGAAAAATACTTTTCAATAGGATGATTGCGCATATCAACCTTAGAGCAAAAATGAGTTTAAATGATCTATTTATACAAGCAGCCCATCGAGCTGCTTGTGTAAGTGGTATGACCTCGGTGGAATCGCTTAGTATGACAGCTTCAGTTCTCTTGCTGGAAGATAAGAACACTACCAATTCTCTTAATGAGGCTACTGTGAGGGATAAATGACCTGCTATATACAAAGGCACCTTGGAAAGTTTAAAGCATTATATATGGATACTGAATTTTGTATATGGTACAGGCTGTAAGAGACAGGAGTATGTAACAAGATGCACAGCAACAGAAATTCAGTCCACAACAATTCATTTGAACCATAACTGTGTTCATTTAAAAGTGTCTCTGAAACAGACCAAAAAAAGTCTTAGTGATCTCAGTCTCATTTTATCAAACCCTTTATACAAATCCATCAATGAATGTTTCTTAAATTATTTACCTCACCTTAGTCAATTCCTCACTACAATAATCACCATTTATAAATGTTGGATATGTGCTAAAATTTATTCAATAAACAATAGGTCAATGTTATGTATTACTGGCTTAAATTTCAACATATCCATGCCAGAAGACGACATAGTGGTCATGTAGCTGGACTCCCACATGGCCAACTACGGTTCAAGTGTGCATGTGTGTCCAAGGCCCAGGGAGGAGAACAAATAGTCATGTGGCCATCCCCCCTGGGGGGGTGATTTCTCACTTTTCCCTCTCTCTGGTGAGTGCTCATTTTGCCCTAAGGCAAAAATGTCTTAAAAAAATTTTTTTTTAACATACCCATTTGTGACACATGGTATAAAAATAGGCCAATATCTTGAGATATAAAAAGATGAACTCCTACTTAAAACAATGGTGGAAGACCAGCAGATAATGATTACATCATTGGACTCCCATGTAGTCAACCATGGTTCGAGTCCCAGACCCAGCGACTTGAAACATGCTGGGCTTGAGTGCATGTGTGCCCAAAATCCTGAAAGGAGAATGGAGGAGAAGGGGTTGTGGCATGGCCATCCCCCTGGGGAGTGATTTTTTGTTTTCTGTATCTCATCTCTCTGGCAAGCATACGTGCTTATAGCAAAAGTCTTTCTTTAAAAAAAAAAAAAAAAGTAACAATGTCAGTATTTTTAAGGCAAAGGCATTACTATTAATATGTATACACTCTACTACAATTTATGACTCTGAAAATGCTAATTTAAAAATAGCAAGAAAGTATAACCTCTGCTCACAATATGACTTTGCTTCAAACTGTATTTTTAAGAAAGAAATTCTGTACCTAGGGCCCTAACACATAAAAATGTTGTATTAGATAGAGCATAATGATTAAGATACACCTCAGTCTAGACAACTCAAAAAGACGTGATTCTGAAGTTCAGAACTATGCTGTTTCTTCCTACAGCTTATTACCTACAGCATATTCAGACCCAGGATTTGAACTGCAGTTGGCCGTGTGGAAGTCCAGTGCCTTAACCACCACGCCACCTGCTGACCACCCTAATTTATTAATAGAAGTACATGTAAAACACTCTACCAGGACCAGCAGATGGCATAATGGTTACATCGCTGGACTGCCACGTAGTCGACTGTGGTTCAAGTCCCAGACCCATCGACTTAAAACTCACACCAGGCGCATGTGTGTGCATGCCCAAGATAATGAGGAGAATGGAGAAGGGATTACAGCGTGGCCATCCCCTAGGGGGTGATTTCTTGCTTTCTGTCTCTGTTTCTCTCTCTCTCTCCAGGATTGCAAACACCCTATGGCAAAAATCTCTATGGGGAAAAAAATACTCTATTACGTTAAAATGATATTCTCAGCATATCTAACTTTCCATAAAGTCCTTGAGGTCAAGAATATCTCCATCATTAAATAACCCACTTCACTGTTTCTTTTTTTCTTTCTTTCTTTCTTTTTTTTTCTTTTTCTCTCTCTCTTTTTTTTTTTCCGAGAGATTTTTGTTATAGGGCACATGCACTCACCACAAACAGAGAGACGGCATGGCCACGCCGCAATCCCTTCTCCTCCATTCTCCTCTCGGGATCTTGGGCACGCACGCAAACGTGCCCAGCGTGAGTTTTAAGCCACCGGGTCCGGGACTCGAACCGCAGTCAACTACGTAGGAGCCCAGGGACATAGCCATTACACTAACTGCTGGTCCCACCCACTTTACTGTTTCTAAAAAGGTGCCGGGCATAGCAGAGAGGCTAACTTCATGAGTCCATGAACTGTAGACAATTTCCAGTATGTAGACTAATTAAAAATCAGAAGTCACTTAGAAGCCCACTTCAAAGTTCATAAAACAGAATCTGTGCAACTCTGCTTATGAAAGAGTCCAAATAACAAAAGTGCTGGCCAAAGCCAATTCAGAGCTAAGCCATCCCATGCAGTATTTTAACAAAGTAATAAAAAAACAAGGGGCTGGGACCAGCAGATGGCATAATGGTTATGTCACTGGACTCCCACATAGTTGCCCGCAGGTCTGAGTCCCAGACCCTGCGTCTTAAACTCACATTGGGTGCATATGTGTGGGTGCCCAAAATCCAGAGAGGAGAATGGAGAAGGGATTGCAACATAGCTACCCCCTGGGGGGTGATTTCTTGCTTTCTGGTGAACTCAGTGCGCTACAGCAAAAATCTCTAAAAACAAAACAAAACAATGGACCAGCAGGTGGTGTGGTGACTAAGGCGCTGGATACTCCCACATGGCCGGCTACGGTTCAAATCCCAGACCTGTTGGCTTGCTTTCTCACTAATAATAATAATAAATAAATAAATATAATAAAAAATAATTAAAAACAAACAAAAAAACCCCCAAAGGATTGACATTACTAAAGGATGCACACTGTACAATTGTACTAGGCCCCCAAATTAAGTAGCCCCCTTTCTTTCTCTCCTAAGCATTAAGAAAGTTAAATCAGGGCCAGCAGCTGGCATGGTGGTTGAGTGTTGGACTCCCACATGGCCGACCAGTGATTTCTCACTTTCTCTCTGTATCTGACTGTCTCCCCTCCAAGCACAAGTGCCCTATGACCACAAATAAGTTAAATCAGGGTGCCAAGCAAGTGATATGGTAGTTAAGGCAAAGGATCCTACCTGGTCAACTCTGTGGTTCAAGTCCTGGACATGAATGCTTGAGAATCACGCTGGGCGCATGTGTTTGTATGTGTCCAAAATCCCCAGAGGAGAATGGAGAAGAGACTGTGGCATAATCATCCCTCCTGGGGAGTGATTTCTCACTTTTCCTTTCTCTTTCTGTCTCTCTCCTGTAAGTACACACGCCCTGTGGCAAAAGAATCTAAAAAGTTAAATAATACTTTTCTGTTTTCTTGAAAACAAAACATAGCTGAAAAGTAATATTTTTATTTCCTTTACTGATTAGCAACAGTCACGTTTTTGTCTTTATCTTCGGATGTCTGCTGTGGCTATTGGGTAATGCCACCTCCATATTATGACCCTGAGTAGAAAATGTCTCTTAGACAAAAAACTGAGATAGAGGGGTAGGTTGGTTCATAGGTAATTCTTGTCTCACCATTTACTCTTTGGAACTCCCCAAATGCCCATGTCCTACTTCCCAAAATAAAATGTGACCTTTCTG